AACAAGATATTTTTTAAAGAAATAGTTTGGAATAAATATCTGCAGTGTTCCAATAATGCTTTGACTGTAATATACGGGCAGAATAAGGAGGGCTATTGTCACCCAGGACGGATGGCCATTTCAGAACAAGGAGAACGAGAGTCCTTACTCCCTCCTAACCATCTTCCAAATGTTTATTCTCAGGACACAGTGGGCACTTTTGGCTATTCTTTTAAATAAACTGATAGCCACACTGCATCAAGCAGATTTTTTTTTGCTAAAGAGGGTAGATTATTATTATAGGGAACAATGGATTATTATTTGTGGTCCAAACCTCAAAACAAGCCCTTCTTTCAGAACAGAAGCAAACAAAAGACGCTCCTTGCTATTGTGGGCAGGCAGAAAAGCAGCCCCAGGGCACTCGAGTTCAACAAGAAGGACAAAGCACAAGACTAGACAAGTTGACCAGCTTATTCCAGGAAGCAGCACTGGTTTGCAACCCTTCTTCATTCTGTGTGATTTTGACTAGTTTTCTCCACTGTGATGAGAACTACAAGGAAAGCCACAGTCTCTAAAGTCCATAAATAATGTTTCTCAGGGATTTTCCTAAACCAGATCTCTGCCTCAAGGCTTGGTTGCAAGAACTGTTACACTGAGAAGTTATTTAAGATGGAAGTAGACCAAGTGTCCAGCTTACAGTCATAGAATTTTGAGCAAAAGAGACTAACCAAATCCCTAAATGGCTTTTAGGCAATCTATTTAAGACACTTGATTTAGTTACACCAAAGCTGGTTAATAAACAAATGGCTTTTTAAAAAAACACACGATCACTCTGGCTAATTTGAACATGTAGCTGTTAGAGCCTTAGGATTATGAATTCCAACTCTAGCCAGTCAGCTAGTTCCAGAAAAGGAAAATGACTCCAAACAGAGTGAGTTAACTTCCTCTCATCCTTGGTTGTCTTTCTCTCAAATGCTACTTTGTTGTAATTCTTGGGGATTCCATTAGTTATAAGACAAGCTTTCCAAAAACCTGATCTCTATTTATCTTCTCTTTTTCCTGACAATCTGGATAAGATCAGGCCTACCCCAGCCACTCATTCCTATGGTCATACACTAAATCAGGGCTTCTCAATCTCAGCACGATTGACAATTGAGCTAGGAAATTCTTTGTTGTAGGGAACTGTCCTGTGCATTGTAGGATGTTTAGCAGCATCCCTGGCCTCTAGTAGATGACAGTAGCATCTCCTCTGCCTCCAGTTGTAACAATCAAAAATGTCTCTAAGACATCGCAAATGCTCCCTTAAGGGTGAAAACACCCTTGGCTGAGAACCACGCTCTAGATCCTATCATCAGTACTTGCACCCTCTCCACAATCTCAATTCAGGCTTTTCTACTCTCTGACTAACCACCTCCTAGCTTTCCAATATTCTGACTTCATTGATCCTTC